CTTGTGCATTATCATCTCAGCTACTACACTACAAACGCTGGCTTCCCCTCACCAAATATTCCCAAAACAAGCGTTATCCAACGCGACGAGCAAGATGGCTTTGCAACACTTCACCGAGCCCACCACGTACTATTGGCAAGAAATAGTCGAACAAGACTCATCGATGCCCCCTTGGTAAGATAACCAAACGCTGTCCTGGTCTCAAAGGTCGGGTCGCTAACACGCCGCAGGCAGTATAGCTACCCAGCCCTCCTTCCAGACAACAGAGTCCTATACCTCCCCATCCGGCCACTCCCCAGCCCCGACTCAGCAAGCCGGCCAAATCTCGCCATAGCATCACTCTTCCTAACCCAAGCATCCTTCTCCGTCGTTGATGCCCTCGGCTCTTCTCTCGCTTCACTCATTAGATCAAGTTTCGGCACCCCCATCGACGCCATTGTCGGACTGCCAACCCTAGGTTTAGGTATCGCTTCATTGGTTGCTAAGGATCTTGGGCACTGTTAGTCCGTCTTTGGTGGTGTTCTAGGGGGTGTGGGTAAAGAGAAATGCTGACTTTTGTGTCCTAGCGAGATTTGTAGCGCTGGGATATTCGAGAAAATTTTGGTATACAGATGACTTATCGGCAACGCTTTCCTCTATCACCTCGCACGGCGAGAAGAAAGTCTACCTTGACCCCGCCCAGCTTCCCCTAATCCAAGGCAAGAATGTGCTTGTTGTTGATGATGCTGTTAGCACCGGTGCGCGCCCCAATTTTCTTCCCCTGTCATTCTCTTTGACAAACATGCTGATTATTCGGTTAGGTAAAACCGTGAATGCAGTCTGGGATTTCCTGGAAAGCGAAAATGTCGGTGCGAATGTCGTTGGTGTGGGCGTGGCGATGAAGCAAGGTTCAAAATGGAGAGACGCCCTTGGGGATGGAAGGAGAGGGAAGATCGAGGGGGTGTTTGAGTGTCCGCTTTTGAAGGCTGTTGCGGGGGGATGGGTGACTAGAGATTGAGATGTTTGGAACTCAGTGAGGTTCCTACTAGAATGGAAGACACTGATAAGACAACCGAGCTATCGAGCTTTGGAAAGAGGCCACGTATTCTAAAGAGAAGCAGCTACGCTGGATCCAAATATTGGAACCATAATCTAATTGATCAAAAAGTCGTATTACGGTTACCATAAAACAGATAAACTATAACAACTCCACCAACCATTTGGCATCAGCCATTACCTCCCAAAAATCCATGGCAGCCATTTTACGAACACCAGACCCCGGTATCAAAGCATGTCTTTCCTAATCTGCAAACTCGAGGTCTTGAATAGACGGTTTAGACTGCACTCGAAATATTACGGGCTGGGCTACCATGTTGACTATGGATTGGGGTCTGTTGTCGACTACTAGTGTTCTTTCGAACGCTGAAGTTCTGGCGGGCTCGGGCGATGCTGTTGGTATGACTGCCGGTGGGAACCTTGCTTAATCGACGGCCGGAATCACCTATCTCAGCGCGTGCACTGGAGAGTTGCTGAGCGAATGGCGAGCGTGCTCGTAGGGTTGGACCCTTCCAGTAGATGACATAGACTGCGATGACGAGGACTGTGGAGATACAGGCGAGGATTGTGGAGGCATATGCGAGAGGGTTTGGTCCAATGTCTAAGAGAGATCGTTAGTCTGAGTCTACATAGAAAGGATGATTGCGATACGTACTTTGGAAGAAGGGAGTAGCTGGGATTGTCAGAACACCCGCGAGGAAATCACGAGCCCAACCGTTACCACCGGTTGCTGATGCAGAATATGGACCGTAAGCAGTAATCATGTAATCGATGGTTGCCATGTAGATAGCGTAGTTTGCGATACCAACGATTGCAGCAAAGATGGAAGATGCGATCCATGGCAATGGAGGACCGGTTGAAGTCCATGCGAAACCGAAGAGCCCGATTGGAAGGCAGGGGGCTGTGTATAGAAGCCACCAGAGTCGAGACTCATATTGTGCCGTTTCATCCTCTGGTTTGGCGTGTCTCTCCTGGATGTTACGCTTGATGGCTGGAATAAAGGAGAACCAGGCGATGAAGTATCCAACGAGAATTGGAACAAAGGACAAGCCGAGCTCAACAGTGCCAAAGCCCCATTGCTTGTAGACGAGGGCGAAGGATTGAATGAACATGAAGATGAGAGCATCACTGAAACCGCTGAGAAGAGACAGTGTGAGAACGATAGGCTCAGTAAGGAACATCTTGAATGGTCGGATCCAGGTGACGAGGATCTCCTTGGCAGAGAAGCGCTCTCGGAATGGAACGAGCTCATTGGGACCATAGATATTCTCACCGGCCTCGCGCTGCTTCTTAGCGATCTCGTCCATCATGATGGTTGATCGGGTCTCTGGGACGCAGAAAAAGTGGAGGATTTGAACGAAAACGCCGAAGATGAGTTGTATCCAGATGCTCCATCTCCAGTCCAAGTAGGCCTCGCTGAAACCGCCGATGACTGGGCCAAGAACTGAACCACCAACAGAGGAGAAGACGACAAAGGCGACAGCGTATTGCTGGTTATCAGCCTCCCACATATCTGCGATCATACCGAGTGTAACGGAACCACCCGCGGAGGATAGACCACCAAGAGCACGACCGACCATGACAGAGGCGAAGTTTGGTGCGAGGGCGACAGGAAGCTGCCACAGATTGACAAGGAACAAACTAGCTTGTAGAATTGGCTTTCGTCCCAACTCCTCTGACCAAGGTGCCCATAGCTCACATCCGAAAGCATAAAGAACGAGGAAGACCATTGCACCACATCGTCCTGCTTGGTCGCTGACGCCGAATTCTTCGGCGATGCCAGGAACCGCATTGGAGTACAGACTGGTGTTGAAGTTCATAGAGACTTGAACCATGAAGATGACCGCGAGAATTGTCCACTTCTTGAACTCCGTGAAGCTATATCCAAGCTTGTCATAGCACATCTCCTCTGTGAGCTCAATCTTGTCATATGTGCCAGCCTTCTCGACATTGTACAAATCGTTGGATGCTTGAGTAGAAGCAGGAGAAGTCTGGGTTTCAGCCTTGGTAGTCGAAGAAGCGGAGGATGGATTGGTAGTCTGTCCACTGGAAATGGTAGAGTGCTCGTACCCAAGGGAGGGTGTGACGAAGTCGGGTTTTTCGTTGGACGCCATGATGTCGTTTCGTACCAGGGTGATAGCGGCAGCTGGATGGCTATTCGAATGCTATGATATGCTTCTGAATATACGAAAGTCGCATGGGATATACTATCCAAGAACGTAGAGTTGATCAGAAGAAAAGAAAGTGAAATCCTGGGGAAGTATGAAAGACTTTATCCCTCACACTGGTCTATGGGCATTGTACTAAGAACTAGTGCAGCACGTCATTAGCAAACCCACAATATTAGTAGGAGCGGGATGTTAGAGTCGGGGTGGAGGAAAGTGCTCCCGACGCTAGCACAACGAACGATGAATAGAGGACACTTGTCAATTCCTGATGAAATCTCGTCATCCCGAGCTTCGAATTCTTCCATTTTCAGAAGAACTAAAAAGTCTGGCACCGAACAGGCATTTGAGATATCGGCACGAGAGACCGGTGCTTCTCCACAGGAAACCGTATGAGGCATTGAGGCGACCGCTCGGCCTAACCTACTCACCGAGGACTAAAGGGGATACAATTCAAGCTTCCCGGACAAGCCACTGACGCTCTTGAATACTTTGACATAAAAGGTTTACGGAGCGACCCGTCCACTTGCAAGATCGACAGAGCCAACGGCCACCTATGTCCAATGCATAGATGAGGTGTTTGAGTGAGTAAGGCTTAGAGTACGCCCGTATACACCAGATGGAGACACAGATATTCCCGTAGCTATCATGAATTCGGTGAACTGTTGGTGTATGTACTCGAGGAAGACGATTCTTGATGTGATTCTTGATGCCGAACCCAGTTTTGGAATAGCTGTATGATGACATGTATTCGATTAGAGTAGAATCATATTATGGGGAAAACCGGGCCCCTGAAAAGATGATAATATGTTGGAATGACGTCACGTCCGAATAGAAGCGAGAAACTTTCGACGACTGAGATCGCCTCTTTGGCAACAATCCCACTCTACTCATAGCAGCACCATCAATCAAGCGTCTATCCAAGAGAGATAAGAGATATCTGGAAGAGTATCAAGTAACTTCAAATGTAATGGGACCCTGGAAGACCATCTTTGGGGAGGTGGTGCACCCATGGTTGAGCCTCACCGCAGATTTTTGAACTGCAAGCCAACCAGATGTTGACGGGGAGAGGTTGATGTTGGGACAAGCAATGCCGAGGAGAAGATGTTCAGCCAAGAAATCCAACCTCAAATTGTGGCTTTGTCAAGCCGACTTGGCGATTGCTTGCATACCTACCACTCCGGTGAATTCTAGCTTCGAGTGCTGTCATCAAACGTGGCACATACTCGGTAGTTATCACGAGTGAGTGGGCCATGTGGAGCATCGGTGAAATAAGCGGAAGTTCTTCGGGAATCAAGGTTACCTAATCAACGCCAGTAAATCGACAAGATGTTTCGATGATCAAAAATTTTGCTATAGCCGCTTTATAGGAACAGATCTAGACTACTGATACGGACACGAGTATGAATCCCCTCCCACAAAAGGCTATAACAATTCGTTTCTGAGCCTTTTAAAACTAAGGGAGTCGCTCGAAGCTGGAACGCCTTCCCATTACTGTGAGCTCAGCTGTATGGAATAGTAATGCTGCTATTTTCTTGATAGCCAATTATCTACCACTTATCACTTATAGTTGCAAATACATATGACTATCAATTTGACTCTTACCCCGTGCCTGCAAGTCAAGAAGAAAATTTGCGACAGCCTATCGTCTTTTATTACTCAACCTTACCAAAATTTTATTGCTTGGTTCTGGTTATGTGCTTAATACCGGGTTCGTGAATGGTGTTTGGGTGGCTTTCGAAAATGTATGGAGTATATGAATTAGAATAAGACTAAAATCTTTCAACCAATCATATTCAGGCTCTTTTAGCTCAGTGGTAGAGCGGAAGATTGCAGTTGTGCAATATATCTTCAGGTCACTTGTTCGAACCAGGTAGAGAGCTTCCCTTTTAGCCTTTTGCTACTTTGGCCCTCGGCTGAGAGGCATAAAGTCCAAACTGTTTTCGTCAATAATGATGACGTCTTACCCTGTTTACGAACGTTCTTCACTTGGATATGCAATTCATATTCAGCTCCTTGCCGTTGTTGCGAGACAATTAATCCCTTGAAATTTAACCATGTTTTTTCCCCCCTTTTATTAGTTGCAAACAATGGTATCTTTTACTGAAAGCTTCTTGTTCTGTTTCGGTGGGATTCGCTTGAATATCAGCAAAGGATAAGTCGACACAGCCAAGGGTTCGGGAGATTCTCGGCTCCGGATCGACCAAGCCGTAAAAGTGGGATTCAGTCATCTGCTTACTGGCGGTGAACTCCTCCCCTCCACCAACTTCTCTCCACACCATCTCAATATCATCCCGAAGGAAAGTGCCGAAAAGGTGCAGGTACCATGAGAGCATCGTTCTGCAATTGTTTTTAGATCATGGCCCAACTTATTCTTCAGGGATTCGATGATCCATGGCATGGGCGGAATGAGGCGTATCGGACTTTCAAGCATCATCAGGATTCCTTTGAGGGGGAGACGAGAGGGCATTGCTCCCGGGCATGGGTGACTTACTTCCATTGTTTAATTTTATAGAAAGATGAGACTAATTTGCTTTCAGGATTCTGTAAATGCTCAATTCGAGCCATGTTTCCTTCCACATATTGCTGCAATCCCAGCAGCAGTGGCAATATGCATTGTCCTAGGATATCTCATCCGCCTTATTCCAGGACTTTCAATACGACCAAGATGGCTGGACACTTTTATCGACGAAGTTCATGACCAGGATGATGATTTGGCCCCGAAACAAAAGCGTCGTCTTACTCTTCGTTCCAGTATGCTGCTTGCCGCCACGTGCATTGGCTTCTTTATGCAGCTTCCAACGATATTTTACCCTGAGATCCAATTCGGATTGATATGGCCCATGGCATCATGGGCCATCGCTGCGGTACTTGTAGTTATTTTACGACCCTTAACGACACCAAAAGCATTGCTATTTCTGTATATCAGTATTTTCATATCGCAATTCATCATTCTAGTGAACGGCAAAACCTCAATCGAGGATTATGACGCGCCTGCCATTCTTGTACTCTTCTGGGCTTTCGCGGCAATTTTAATCATTCTTCAAATGCCATTGAGGGATCCAAGTCTGCCAAAGTTTACCATTAGCCCTACTTTTGGACCGCCGACAAGTCAATTGCGCACGCCGGAGGATAATTTGACCCTTTGGCAATTTATGTCGGTCTCTTGGATGGCGCCATTGATTGCGCTGGGAAATGCGAGACAGTTGAATGATGATGATGTTTGGGGGCTTGGGTATCAATTTCAGCATAGAACACTGCATGATAGGTTCCGGGAAATGAAGGGCACGGTATTGAGGCGATTGGTGGATGCAAATGGATTGGACCTCTTTATCATAACTATGCTTGGTATACTGGAGCTACTCGCTAGTAAGTATTCCCTCCTACGCCATGCTGCTCGTTAAACTTTTCCTAGATCTTTCCGCGCCTATCTTCTTACAGAAGATCCTTCAAAGCATGGAGGACCATCGATCACCGAGGCGAGCCGCTGTAACTTATGCGATTATCTCTCTCATTATCCGCTTAATTGCGAGTCAGTCTGGAGTCTTCAGTATTTGGTACCAGAGACGAGCATATGAACGTTCACGTGGAGAGCTGGTTACCATGTTGTACGAAAAAACTCTGTCGAGAAAAATGGTCAGCGTTAGCAGTAAAGTACAGAACGAGGGAAACGCGAGTGGCAATGAGAATGGGGTTGCAAAGTCGAAAGAGATGTCAAAATGGAAAACGATCTCAGGATACATCAGAAAGCCCTTCCAGTCGAAGAAAGTTGCGACTGAAGTCCCACCAGAGACCAACGAAGAGGCGCCCAAGGAGTCGCTTGAGTTGGCTTCCACGGGAAAGATTATAAATCTAATGCGGTATGTATACCGTGACTCATGTTCCGGTGATAAGCTGACTAGATTTATAGTTTTGACGCCTATGAAATAGCACAACGGTGAGCAAATCCGAACGCAGGAAATGATAGCAAGCTAACATAACTCTAGATTCTGGGAATTTCCCCAGCTGATTACTCAGCCTCTTCGATTAATCCTTTCAGTAATTCTCATCTGGATATTAATTGGTTGGCCCTGTCTAATTGGTGTCATAACTGTATTTGTTGCTCAAGGCTTTAACGCAATGATCGCCAGAGTGTTATTAACCTGGGAAAGAACAAGAAGAGTTGCGACCGACAAGAAGATACACAAAGTGTCCCAACTTGTGGAAGCCATTCGACATCTGCGCTACTATGGATGGCAAGATGTTTGGTTGGGTGGAATCATGGAAGCAAGACAAAGGGAGCTGAATCTCCAAATTATCACAGGTTTGTGGCGTCTCTTAATCAGATTTATCACTTCTTTCTCTAGCGGCATGTTTCCGGTAGTAGCGTTTTATGCATACACTGCCTTGGCGAATAAACCTTTAAAGCTCGAGGTTGCTTTCCCTGCTCTACAACTGTTCGCCATGCTTGAAAGCAGTCTTCGTCAATTGCCTGATCTCATCACCATTCTCTTGAACGCAAGAGTATCCATGGGTCGTATCGAAGAATTTATGAGCGAGCCAGACATGGAGGAAGCGGAGCTAGCTCAAGCATCAGATGGAAATTTGGAGATGCAAAATGCTAGTTTTTCCTGGCCAGGGGCTTCTGCTGCAGTATTACATGAGATAAGTCTCTCATTCTCACCCGGATTGACTGTCATCTATGGTGAGGTTGGCGCAGGAAAGACGGCTCTACTCCAATCAATTCTAGGAGAACTGGACAAATTGGATGGAGAGTACGAGCGTTCAAACGAAATGGTGGGATATTGTGCTCAAACACCTTGGCTACAGTCCATGAGTATCAGAGAAAATATCCTCTTCTCCGCGCCATATGACGAAGTGCGTTACAGGCGGGTCATGGATGTATGTGCTTTGATTCCAGATATGGCGAGTTTCAAGCACGGTGATCTCTCCTTGGTTGGGGAGAATGGAGTAGGACTCTCAGGTGGCCAGAAATCCCGTCTATCTCTGGCTAGGGCTGTGTACTCGCAAGCTAAAGTGCTACTACTTGATGATCCGCTCTCTGCTCTGGATCATCAGACCGCTGATTCTATTGTCCGAAGATGCTTCTCTGGGCCTTTGATGAAGGACAGAACTGTCATTCTCGTCACACATCGGACCGAGCTCTGCATTCATATAGCAGATCAGATTGTACAGATCGCTGATGGCCGAGCTGAGGTTATCGATCGAGAAATTGTGAGCTCTGATGAGTTGTGTAAGATAGCATCTCATGATGGTGCTCACGATGACCCACATATTGACGAAGAACAACACGCGGCAGCAATCCCTGATAAGTTCCTCGAGGATGAACAGCGAGCTCATGGCGGCGTCAAATTTTCCATTTACTGGGAATACATCAAGGCAGGAATGCTAAGATGGTGGTTCATGTTGATCCTCGCCCTGGTTCTCTATCGCGTCGTCGACATAGGGGAGACCTGGTTCTTGAAAGCATGGGGCGAAGCATATGGCGAGATCGAGCAGACTACCAAGATTGATAACCCTCTCAGCGGCTTGCCTTCACCTGAAGATAATATCAAACCTTGGCTCGTTGGATTCCTTGTTCTTGCTGCTGCGCAGTCCCTCGCATTCGTCATGTCACAAAGCGTCATGCTTGTAATTGTCTACCAAGCTGGAAAGAACATGTTTCGAGAGATCATGACCCGAGTTGGCCATGCAACATTCCGGTTCTACGATATTACTCCCGTCGGCCGTCTCATGAATCGGCTAACATCCGATATCAACACAATTGATGGGAATATTAGCGACCAATTCCAATTCTTTGCCATCCTCGCAATATCTTGGGTATCCTCGATCGTCATATTTGCATCAGTGACGCCTTACTTCTTGGTGTTTGCTATTGGGCTTACCCTCACTTTTGTGTGGATCTTCATGCATTTTTTGCCCACTTCTCAGAGTCTCCGTCGACTAGAAATGGTTTCCCTTAGTCCCTTGATCTCTAATTTTGGTGAACTGGCGACGGGACTTACAAGTATCCGAGCGTTCAAAGTCTCGCATCTGTTCCAGGCACGAGTGATTACAGTAACGGACAAGTTCCAAGGAATGGATCACTTCTACTGGAGTTTACAGGCTTGGTTGATGTATAGATTCGACACACTCTCTGCTGTCTCAACTTTCCTCTTGACAGCCCTGGCTCTGTTCACTGGTGTCTCACCAGGCCTAACAGCTTTTGTTCTTACAGCCGCAGGGAAGTTCGTTCTATGCACACATATGCTCTGCAAAGTATACGGCCAACTCCAAATGGACTTTGTCTCCGTCGAGCGCGTCGTCGAACTCCTTCACCTCGAGCAAGAACCCCCCGGTACCATTGAACCGCCCGCCTACTGGCCATCCCTCAACGGCGACATCGTCTTCGAGAACGTCACCATCAAATACGCACCACATCTTGACCCTGCTCTCATCGATGTATCCCTCAAAATCAAAGGCGGCAGCACAACCGCACTCATCGGCCGCACTGGCTCTGGTAAGAGCACATTAGCACTCTCACTTCTAGCTACCACACTTCCTACATCGGGCCGTATTCTCATTGACGGCATCGACATCTCCAAAATCTCTACCCAAGCCCTACGCAAACGTATCACCTTCCTCGCGCAAGAACCCGTCCTCTTCCCCGGATCAATGCGCGCGAACCTTGACCCACTATCCGAGTACACCGACGAGGACTGCACATCCGTCCTCTTCAAGATCGCAGGCCGCCATAATTGGACGCTCGATACACACATCGACACAGGCGGTCGTAATCTCAGTCAAGGACAACGACAACTAGTTGGGCTGGCTAGGGCGTTGCTCAGAAGAAGCGCGATCGTAGTGATGGATGAGGCGACGGCTAGTATTGATTCTGAGACAG